TATATATACATAGATCCATTTAAAGTACTTGGATGCCAGAAAGTTAAAACAATTATTTTTTGTGGTCTTAAAAGACAATTAAAACCACAAAATGAGGGATAAAAACATTTGAAAAATACACAAAATTAAGAACAATTACAACTGTAAAAACAATATGAAACAATAAACAATCTGACAAACATTGAGTTGTGTTTGTGCTTTAGAAAAAAAAGTGTTTTCTAAGATTTTGTTGGAATTTTTATCATTTTTATAGTCTAACAGTGTGATTTTCACCACAGCACAGAAACAGCTCAAAATGTGTCTCTAAACGAAAAACAAGCCTTCTTCATGACAGCTAAAACTGAAAAACTATATCTGAAAAATCCAGAGAATGAGCGTGTAAATGATTGCAGCTCTCAGGCAGACCCTCAGTTGAAGAGAAAATATTAAAGCAAGGAATTTCTGTGCATAATCAACATCTCCAAGAAACTTACTGTAACCCTGGAAGAAAGACAGCAGAAAACAAAGTGTCCTCATTGCTTTGAGGCTGAACAGGGATCTTTGTGCAGGTTTGAGCTGAAGGAATGCTGGGAGTTCTGACGGAGCCTTCTGATTAAAGATTTATGATGACGAGTGAGGGGCTTGCTGCAAACAACACAGGCATCTACAGAATCTGATGTGCTGAAAAAAAATAAGCCATCCACATCTGTCAGACTGTCTTGTCTGTGCCAAGACATCCTGCAAAATAAAAGAGAAGAGGAGTGCAGCGTGGTTTTAGGGAGTACAAGGTGTTCACTTACTTGTAGTTGAGATAAGGAGAGCAGAGAGTGAATTATTTGTATGTTATGACAACAAAAACACGTGTTTTACCCTCAGAAGACAGATTTGTATTGCAGAGTGGATCCATCTGAAAGAATTTCAAAATTAGCAGAAAATGTGTAGAAAAAGATCATGTTAGCAACATTTCTCCACACAAAACATCCCAATCATGCAGGAAGATGCAAATAAAAAGTAAATTTAAATTTGTCCAAGGGTCTAATAAGGTAGAAATATTTTGTCTTTTACACAAACAACTGTTGTAACCTGTTGTCTTGTGTAGAAACAGTATTTCCACTTGATCATTTCACCCTTTGGCTCGATGACTATGTAAGGAACTGTTGTGCAGATAGTTTTTACTTGTGGCGCTGACTTTATCTTTAAAGGGGCAATTCTATGTGTTTCTCAGGCATACATTTAAATACTATACCATAATAAGGTATCTATGTCACCTTTTAGTTGTTATTAAATGCTGTTTTTATGTTTAAATAGACAATAAACTTATCTTCTCATCACTTCCTCTTCTAAATGCCTTGAAATTGGCCTCTGTCTCTTTAAGAACCTCCTTCTGCTTCTGTTCCACCCATTTCAGTGTAGGGGGTGGGGTTGCGTCGCGCACACTCTATGATGCAGTTTACTTGGCATCTAAAAATACATTTCTTCAAAGGTATTTTGAATCTGAAAAGAGCTTCACTGAGTGAGAAGTAGTGTTAAGACCAGCAGACAGTTAAGTTTCACTTTCACTTTGCTCTGTTACTGCCAAGAGCCTGCAGGAGTCATGGGCGGGGTGTGTGGGGTGGAGGGTGGGAGGTGTGCTCCATGATGAGGAAGTTCGGCTTAAAGACACGTCCCAGGGGCGTTTCTGGTCCCAAAAGGTGTTTCTGGTCCCCACCTGTCGTTTTGCTCCTCAGCATGACTTCCTAATAACACTGCAGGATTACTCAAACATGCATGAATGAGTCAAAGCAAGGCTTTGGACATGTTTTTTTTTTATTAGAATATAACATTATACCATGATATAAAACTCAAAAAAGTTGATTTTACATGACATTGGCCCTTTAATATGTTACGATTAAACATGAAACCTGAAATACAAGTAACAAGTGACATTTAGATTAGATTTAACCACACATGTAGATTTGCACATTTTACAAGGCCAGAAAAACTCATATTTTATCAATTTATGAAATTTCCCATGAACTTTTGCTACTTGAATGTAAGGCAGACTTTCTCCAAATGCACAGACTAAAACAAAGACAGGCCACCACACTGGCTTGCTAGCTTAATTGTTACAAGATAAAGGACTTTACTAAAAGAAGTATTTGTATTTCATGCATTATATTACTGCATTTGGCCTGCAGCCACAGATAGATTCTAATTTTGACCCTCTTGGGGAAAATGTTTGGGCGCCCTTTTTATAAGCAGTACCTTCACATAGTGGAGTTCATAGTGAAAGGTCCGGTACCCCAGTCCAAACAAAGCAATGTTGTGTATGCTGTTTAATGCCAGGAGGACTGTAAACCAGCTATATATCGGGAAAACAAAGCAGCCACTGTTCAAAATGATGGTCCAACACAGAAGAGCAACATCATCAGTCAAGGACTCTGCAGTTTACACTCATCTGCAGGCCAGCTGTCACTCTTTCAGGGATGAAGACATTCACATCCTTGATCAGGAGAAATGTTGATTTGAGAGAGGAATAAAGGAAGAAACTGAAAACCGAAAAGAAACTGCCCATTGTTAAATGGGTTGGGGGGGTGGGGGGTTCCACTAGGTACTTGTCAGAGTTTGCCTGCAACTCCTCTGACTAAAGAAGTCTTTTGGATAAAAGACGAAATGTTTCAACAAAGAAGAACCCATCCAGAGAACCTGACTCAACCTTGCTAGACCCTTGGAAAAAGTTACATTTATTTGTCATCTTCCTACATGCATGATTGGGATGTTTTGTATGGAGGAATGTTTATTATTGAGAATGCATCGGGACGTTTGTCCAAGGGCATTTATCCCCTGTGCTTGGTCTTTCCACACTAACGTTTCTTTTTGTTTCAGGGACACGGATGTTCCTGTGTGTCTTGTGGGCAACAAGCAGGACTTGTGCCATGCCCGTCAGGTGCAAGAGGAGGAAGGCCGCTGCCTGGCGCAGGAGAACCGCTGTAACTTCCAGGAGGTCTCGGCGGCTGAGAGCTACCAGGACATTGCCAACCTTTTCACGCAGCTCATCCGGCAGGTAATGGAGCACCTCAAGTACCGAGCCGACCGGCGGCGCTACAGTGGCTCCAAGTCCATGGCCAAACTCATCAACAACGTGTTTGGCAAACGAAGGAAGTCGGTGTGACGTCCCCAGTGGATGTCAGCTGTGGGGAGTGGACATGTTGCTTTCTGTACTAACTTATCAGAACTGTTGATTACAAAGAAAGTGACTCCTTGGTTATGTGGATGTCAATGGTTGATTAGATCTTTATATGTAGATTTGTTTTGCAAAAAAAACGTTTTTTTACATTAGCATAGCAACATATTTACAATGAGCTGAACAGCTAAAGCAGCCATGTATTATCCACATTACAAGAGCTTTAGAAGTTATACTTGTTAACTAAAATGTTTATTTTCACATCAAACTTTTCAAAATCCTTCTTTTTTGTATGTTTTAGTTAGGCCTTCTGCAAACTGAATTTTGATCCCACTGCAATATTTAAAAATCAGCCAGAACCTGGTTCCTGCCGGGTCTTGGATGGGTCTTTGGGATGCAGTGTGCTGTCATATGTGTCATAGAGCGTGATGGCCTTAGAGGGTTTTGCGCAGGTACAAAACTACTTTAGAAACTGTGTAGTGATTATGCTGGCAGCATATCAGGGATTTGAGTGAAGCACAGTGGCAATGATGGCTGCCCTTTCATGACAGGAGGTCCACGTGAACCGTTGCAGATTGCCGGTAGTTGTTGGGACCGTGCTACCCTACACCTGTGATCGTGGCAAAGTCAGACACATAGTCAGACATTCTCATGATCGTGGTATTGTACTAGTAAAACAGAGTGTGCTTTTAAAAAGACAAGGTTAGTTAATATGCACCTTATCACCAACAGACCAACGCTTAAACCTTTTCTTCTGAGATATCCTGAGACTAATACAGGTCTGTATTTTGGCTCAGCTGAAAGTATGTGTATGACTTCATTGTTTGCAATTAAATATTCAAGTCTAAATCTGAATTTGTCTCCTGGTTCGTGTCTCTCCTTTCAGTATAAACACATTTTCTTACACTAGCATGTCATGTTCTATTAGCCATTATCTGCGTCTTGACTTGGTCCAAGTGAGCCGTGCCAAGGTGATACCAGGCTTTGGTCTGATTGTGAGCATACATGGTAGGTAGTATCATCATGGAAACGTGTTGCTGATATAGTGTGTAGTGAGGTGCAGGGGAGTGTCATGGGGAAGCACAACAGCAATGTCCTTTTTGTTGAGCAACAAGAAGGCAGCAGAGTCATGGTGACCTTCAATGTAAAGGAGGTTTTCCAAATTCATAACAATCCAGGCAACAATAGGTCTTAAAGACTGTAGCTGGAGAGCCATCTAGTACAACTGGGAGCTTGTTCACGCATAAACACAATTTTTCCAATAAGATCTTTTTGAGGTAGTTACACTTTAAAGTCTCAATTGTTGTTCTGGAATGGGAAAAAAAGTTGTGTTGTATAAAGGTTCTCATTATAATGGTAATGATAATGGTATCTTAATTACAATTTAAAAAATGAAAAACACGTAAACCACAAACAGTTTGTCAAGTATTTCAGTATTTTAATATTTTTAATGCACAGTGAAAGTACCTGCAGTAAACTCTGTTAAAGTATCTCTCTGTTACATTGCTGTATTTTTCATTTATAAAAGCACCTGAAATAAATCTGTTTCTCACTCAACAGGCTGTTAATGTCTTCATCTTTAGCTACGAAGTCAGACGTGACTGAAAACTGTTGATTTCTCTGTTGACAGAAATGTTCGAGTCGGGCTAACTCTTGTTTCACACAGACTCTTCATCATCACTGCTTGTTACTAACATCTGGCCGACATCGCATCACGCTGAGTGAAAAACAGAGAGAACTACGACACATGATTCCAAAGTTATCCCATTCAGATTTATCTATATTTGTCTGTTGGGTCAGCATTCTGTGCAAATTTCAACACAGCTCTTTATTTCAGTTGGTGATGTTTTATTTATTTTATGTATTTTATGTTAGATCAGTTAGATACAGGTAACCTGCTAGAATCTCACCATCTTTAAGAGAGAGTATAGAGCCACTGGATGGACTGATGGAAAGAAACAGCTGGTTTTGATGTATTTTTTGACAGAATATTATTAATAAAGTTTATATAATAGACTGAAAAACAACTAGAGTTTGCTTCATTTTATTTACGCTTTGTAATTCATTCCAAAGCGTGATAAAATGTGTAACAAACAACTTTGTTTGTCTGTTAGCAAAATATCTGATGAACCACTGAACTGACTCAAATAAAACTTTCAGAAAGTTGTACATTTGGAATGGACTGAGACAGGGTTTGATCTCAGGCAGACATCAACATTTCTTTCTTGTCATGCTCTGTATTTCATTCCCAAGTGTAATAAAATGTGTAACAACAAAAACTAAACACACACCCCTGATCATCAATCTGTTGAGCACGTTTGATGATCACAGTCAGTTTGGGATCAGTTTTATTGAAACATGCAGCACCTCTTTAAACCAACTTAGTTTGAAAAAAACTTTTTTTTACAAAGATTGACAAGCTAACATCTAGTCTGAATGCTGTAAGAGCTGCTGTCCTGAAACAGCTTCACTGAAGTTTTTTTAAATATCAGTTAAATGCAATGATTTAAAGAACATCTTTTACATGACCCACTATTGAACTTTGAACACTGATATTATTTAAAACAGCAGCAATCTACCTTGACGTTTTGACAAGAAGGTATGAGCTCATCAACACGTTTAGAGTGGGTAACTGCCATCCTTAAACAGCACCAGTGTTTACCGTAATATACTGTAGTTGTTTAGTCAAATATTAGTGCTTAAACTTATACATCTCCATTAATGTTACATTACATTGGTTATTTGAGCAAACTTATGAAATCCATGCTGGAAGTGCATCAAGCAGAGCTAAAGTGTTAAAAGTGTTGTTATATCCATGCTTGCTAAATTCTGTAAATAACTATTCAGAAACTAAAAGTTTGCACCAGCTGTAACCCATGTTGCCTGACTCTAGAAGTAGTGGCATGGATCTTTGTAAAGGTCAAAGAACTATCCATAACAGGTAAGATATTACTTGTTTATTACCCTTCCACAGACTTACATTTCAAAACTCGCTTTTAAGAACATGAACTCCGACATCACTGAATTTTATTTATTTTTTCTGAGCTGCCATTATGTCACACAAAGAATGCACCACACACCATGAAAAAACAACTCTTATATAAAGTGTTTGTGGATGAATGTTCTTTTTATAAGAACTTTAAAAACATTGGGGTTTTCTGGAGGAAATTAAAGCCAAACATTGTATAATGAGATGACTGTTTTCATTATTTTTGGGTGTGTGCGGGGGTGGGGGGGGGACTACGCAGACGCTCGGAGTTAATGTTAATTTGATGAACATGAGACGAGACATTACATGAAAGCCTTTGGAAAGGAGGGATTTCCTGTATGCTTGTGCTAAAAATAGCAGGAGTGGAGGCTTAAAAACGTGATGAATTCACCCAGGTTTTCAAAAACAAAATGACGTTTCTGAACATTTCCACTAGAGGGCAGAACAGATGTTCAGGTCTAAGATCTAATGAGTTCAGGCCCGTTGAACTGCTGGGGGGGATGCAAAAGGATTTCCAAGGCCTTAAACTTCCCCAAGAGTTCTGTAACACTCATCAACCAAACTTTAAGGAATATGGGACATGTGTACATCTACCAAGTGCAGACTTTCCTCACAAACTGAGTGACTAGAAGAGGTCACAGACAGGGTCAGGTGTGAGAGATGGGAGAGACATACAACAACTGCCCAGGTTTTTCACCACTCTAAAGGGCTCAACACACGGGCAGCGACAAACTTCAGCGATTAACGGCTGTCATCGCAGCCAGGGTGAAACCCGACACATGGGACACGATAGCGATTGCAGCGTATCGCGCTCTCAGATCGTTTGTCTTCACAAAATTTGATTGGTTCTTGACTCTGAAGGCGGGTGTGCATTACGGACGTGTAAACTAAACAAATCTTGCGATGCTAATGATATTGAAAAACAAACGCACATCAAGATACAGTTTTATGAGGAAAAACTTACCATAAACTTCACCCTGGTGCCAATAAATTCCCACAAACCTTTTTAGTAATCACTTGGTGAAAGTGTTAGCTAACTGCAGTGTGTAGCATACTCTCCTCTCATTGGTCAGCCAATGAAACCCTCGCTGATTGGTTGTACGCTAAGCGACAGCGACAAAAGTTGAACATTTTTCAACTTTCATATGTCGCGTCGTAAGCTCGCGTGTGCACGTCTACGTGTATGAGTGCGAAATTTCACATGCACTATTTTCGCCGGTCGCTTGGCCGGAGGAGGGCACGCGATTGTCGCCTCACCGCACAGGCTCCATAGGAAATGAATGGAGAGCGAGCGAAGTCGCCTCCCATGTGTCGAGCCCTTTAGCTTCACAGTGGCAAAGAAAAAGACTCTGTTAAAGAAAATGCATTGTAAATCTTCACAATAGTTTTGAAAAGGGCATGTGAATGACTCGCTGCACTTGTGAAAGAAAGTTCTGTGTTCTGGTCAGTGGTGGATCAAGGATTTGTCAGTGTAAGGGGCCATCAAGGGGCCACAATATTCATTGAGGGGCCAAGAATTTGTTCAACATCCGTACACACAAATCCCCAGTTTTTGTAAGGTTTATACATTTGATCCATCACATGTTCAAACACTAAGACTTGCACAGTAAATTCTCCTTAACAATTTGACATGATTTTTTACTGTACATAAATATATCAAGTTTACATAAAGTCTTATGAAAACTTGCTTCATGCTGGACTTTCCTGTATGACTCACTGGTGCCACTGGTGGTTGGAAGTGGAGCAGCAGCCACCATCATTGTTCTTGGGGCAAGGACAGAAGAGTGCCCCTGTGGCCCTGCCCCTAGAACCGCCCCTGGATGAGATTGAATTTTGAGCTTTTAGGTCAAGATGTCATGTTTGGTGGAAATGAAATACCCATTGTTGAGCAGGGCGGTGGCAGCATCATACTAAGGGGATGTTTCTTAGGAGTCAGCCCTGGAAGACTTGTGAAAAGATTTAATTTCCAACAAGACAGTAACTGCATTTCCATTGACCACGAAAATGCGCAAATTAGAATTTCGAAAATAAATTTGCTCAATGGAAACACGTCACTTTCGAAAAAACTCATTTTTTTTGACAAAATGTTTTTGCACTAGGATGAGGTGGTTTTTTGGCCGTATCGAAATTGGTGTATTTTGCAAAACTGCAATGAAAACACTTGTGTTTACATCTATGGCCACCATGTTTGTAATGACTTATCACGAGAACAAACGTATTCATGTGTGACTTTAATAGCATTTCTTACGTAATGGAAACACCGCAGTTGCAAAACTGTATTTTTCGACATTAATAGAATATCAACAAAGTTATTTCAATTCAATTTAATTCAAAAATACTTTATTGATCCCAGAGGGAAATTAGGTGTTGTTGTAACTCATTTAATTAAAAACTTATTGTAGATGCTGATGGCTGTGGGCAGGAAAGATCTTCTGTAGCGGTCTGTATTACAGCGAAGTTGAAGAAGCCTCAGACTGAAGACACTTTGTCTTTCTATGACAGTCTGATGAAGAGGATGGTCAGGGTTGTCCACAATGTTCTTGATTTTATGTAAAATCCTTCTTTGCACCTTCATCTCCAGAGATTCCACAGTCGTCCCCAGAACAGAACCAGTCTTCTTTATCAGTTATGTGCACATGTGCAATGGAAACGCAGCTGACTGGAAGCATTGAACACAGAGACAACAAGGTGAATGTTCTGGAATGGCAGAGGTGAAGTCCAGACCTGATGTGAACAGAAAATTTGGGGTTTGACTGAAAAACATTTTTGTGATATTTGTCTAGTAAAATAAATTATATTAGCCATGAAAGATTTATAGGAGCAATAAAAGCAGAGTCTCGTAAATCACATCAAATCAAGTTCAATACCTTTTATATTTTTGTGTTGACCAAGTTCTTTTATGGCCATCTTAAATTGATTTGTCTCTTAAAATGAACAAGGTGAACATGTTTTCTCCTGGTCAAATATTCAGTTTCATTTTTTGTTTGTTTTTTCCATCACTACTTTATAAATTACTCATCACACACAAACTGAATCTTTAGACATTTGCTGGCAGTCTTTTGTGAGCAGCCCTGTTCATGCTGTAGATTTTTTTCTTTCTAACTCACTCGTGAAGTACTTTTTTGTCTATTTAAAAAAATGTCCCTGTGCTGTGCAGGAATTCATGCATTTTACATTTTCACTGCAGCTACTGCAGTTTGCTTTAAATACACAGAGGAGTTTGGCAGTAGTGGCTATGTTTAAGAAGAGGAAAAGAAAGAGCTCCACCTACAGACAAACTGTAAGAAAAAACATCATAGCTTCACACTGAGACTGACAGGTAATCTAGATAGATCAAAACAGAAATTCATAAGGATTTGGTGCCAAACATGCCCAAAAAAACTGCACGATAACTGAAACGTTAAACGCTTTTCATTTATAAGCCCCAAATCTGCTTTATTTTATCATCTCTCCCCCTTCTCTTCTATTATTTTATCCAGAGAAATGAGGAATGCAGGAGGATGGGGACGGAGGCTTCGGGCATGGCCTCATAGCTTCAGGTCAGTGATCTTATTTGGCCCCTGTGTGG